GCGAATTTTACATAGTATGCTACCTTATTTTTTTTTAAATAAATGCTTGGATTTCAACTATTTAGCTAATCACAATAAAGGGTACTTTTGACGAATTCCCCAATAATTGTTTACAGCCTTTTTGTCAAATTTACTATTAACTAGAACAACTTTTTTGTTGGTGTCTTTGTTGAATTTGTGTTTACGTTTGTTGGAATGTTTTAGTCAGTTGTGTTGTATGTCTGTGATGGATGTTTTGGCTGCTGGATCCCGATTATTGTCACATGAACCTATTATGTTTGTTTGGGTTGCCCATTCACTTTTTTTAAATATAACCGAACTATAAACATCTGTCATACAATTGGGAGTTTTAGATAGCTATAAAATAAGGTTTTACCAACCATTTTCCTCGGAAAATGCCTGCACCAAGTCAGGACAGTTATTTTTCATTCGTTCCGTTGGTTGATAACGTTTGATATTGTCAGTTTTAATGGGCTTCTCCCTTTTTTGAGTTTTTGTTACTAGTACTTTTACTTAAAATCTATTAGTTATATATTATTGAAGTCTTAAAAGAGAGGCTACAGATACCAAAGGGACATTCAAACTCATAAGTCGAAAATAAACTAACAACGCCATTGCTAAAAAAGAAAAAGACCAACAGACAAACAATAGTACACAAAACACAACATAGAACACTAAAGACTGAGCAACACGAACTGGGGGTGATTTCAGGTGCTCCGGAAGGGGAAGCAGATCCTGCTCCACATATGGCACCCGTCGTGTTGCTCGTGTTAGTTCAAACCCGGTTACAAGTCTAATTCGGTAGGTCACATTCGGGGAAAAGCGGACGGGATTATAGTTACGACATTTGGAACATATTCGCTATCATCTGTGAAACGGATATTCCATAACGGTCAACCAAATCGTGATGGCGTTCGCAAAATTTAACAAATTAATAAATAGCTTGTTATGCCAATTCAACATTAAATCATGTTTTTTTTTGTTGTGACTGAAATTTACATGTCATTCTAACGAATGATATTTTTTTTAAAGGTCAAGATAAAGTATATGCTTTTCTATATATTTAGTTTTACAGAATGATCAATAATACATGCATCTCGTTTTATTTGGGTTTTTTTTTAGCAAATGTACAATGTATATGCTGTAGTTCAATATTATCATTAATAGTGCCATTGAGTTCCCCTTTAAACAATAATTATCAATTCTATCTTTTGTGATTCAGACATTGTAACTGTTTTTGAAACATATTTTGAAACTTTCAACTACAAATGATTTTGATTGTTTCCAACATATTTGATAATATTCTACAGACAGTCAGTCCTTACATAGAGATCTGTTAAGCCTTTTTTGCATCCATTAAGAAAATGTTCTAATTGTAGTCAAACTGTTTTTGTAAACATTGTTTTATCATTAACATTCAAATATTTCGGTTTTTTTTTATTCAATTATCTATTAACATTATGTCTATTATTATATCAAAACATTCTGAAATAATAAAAAAGCTTCCGTCAAAGTATATTTCCCTATTCATTGTATATGTAAATTAGGTAAATTTTGATCTATCTTGACATAATTAATTCATTGCTATTCTATTTTTGCTTTTGTTTTGTTTTGTTTTTCCTGAATCATTTTTGTAAATATTCATCGTGCCAAAAAAAAAAAGGATAACAAAAATACCGAACTAAGATCAAAAAAGGGAGGTCCATAAAAAACTGACAAATTCGAACGTTGGAATTAATCAACCAACGGAAAGATTGGAAAACAATTGTCATATTATTGACTTGGTACAGGCAATTTTTGGAAGTTTCCAAATTTCTATTTGATTTAAAACATTGAATATCGAACTTCACATTGGTTGTTAAAGTCTATTAAATACCAGGCTTCTAATAGATTAATACACTAGACGTGCGTTTCATAGACATCACACTCACGACTAAACCAGGAAACCAACCAGTTTGAAAGCCAAATTAAATTACGAAGTTGAAGGACATTGAAATTCTTAAAAGTTGTGTAAAATCCCGGTGAGGCGATCTATATATAAGATAGAAAAATAAAGTGTCAAATAAAAATTGTTAGTTGTGTTCTTGCATTAAAAGAATTAAACCGAACAACCCTCTCCCAACTCTTTCGAGATAAATAAAAAGAAGAGAAAAACAAAACAAAATAGGATACGAGTTATTCTAACACAGAACTGTTCCAAAATGTGAAAGGAAATAGAGTTATATTGAACTAAACCGTCAAATCTTGTCATTGAATATATATCGTAGAAATGAAAAAAAAAACCTGCAAAGAATAGTTACAAAAAGACAGTAACGTAGTCTAACTTGTTTATAAAACAATAAGAAATTACTCGTTATAAATAAAACGTGTCCTACTTCTTGTATAAGCTGTTTAAGCTAGCCATAAATAATTAATACTTTTACAAGTTCAAGAAAACAAATTACAGAAACAACAGTACTTGCCATTTTATAGAGTCTATCCATAGATTGTAATAAATGTAGATAAAGTCCAGTTTATGAGTTAGGACATGAAAAAATTACAAACAGAACCAACTATAAAACACTACAAACAGAACCAACTATAAAACACTACAAACAAAACCAAAGATTGAACACTACAAACAGAACCAACTATAAAACACTACAAACAGAACCAACGATTGAACACTACAAACGGAACCAACGATTGAACACTACAAACAGAAATACGATTGAACACTACAAACACAACCAACGATTGAACACTACAAACGGAACCAACGATTGAACACTACAAACAGAAATACGATTGAACACTACAAACACAACCAACGATTGAACACTACAAACAGAACCAACGATTGAACACTACAAACACAACCAACTATAAAACACTACAAACACAACCAACTATAAAACACTACAAACCAAACCAACGATTGAACACTACAAACAGAACCAACGATTGAACACTACAAACAAAACCAACGATTGAACACTTCAAACACAACCAACTATAAAACAGAACCAACGATTGAACACTTCAAACAGAACCAACGAGTGAACACTACAAACAGAACCAACTATTAAACACTACAAACAGAACCAACGATTGAACACTACAAACAAACCCAATGATTGAACACTTCAAACAAAACCAAAGATTGAACACTACAAACAAAACCAATGATTGAACACTTCAAACAGAACCAACGATTGAACACTACAAACAAAACCAATGATTGAACACTTCAAACACAACCAACTATAAAACACTACAAACAGAACCAACGATTGAACACTACAAACAAAACCAACGATTGAACACTTCAAACAGAACCAACTATAAAACAGAACCAACGATTGAACACTACAAACAGAACCAACGATTGAACACTTCAAACAGAACCAACGATTGAACACTACAAACAGAACCAACTATAAAACACTACAAACAGAGCCAACGATTGAACACTACAAACAAAACCAACGAATGAACACTTCAAACACAACCAACTATAAAACAGAACCAACGATTGAACACTACAAACACAACCAACGATTGAACACTTCGAACAGAACCAACGATTGAACACTACAAACAGAACCAACGATTGAACACTACAAATAGAACCAACGATTGAACACTACAAACAAAACCAACGATTGAACACTTCAAACACAACCAACTATAAAACAGAACCAACGATTGAACACTTCAAACAGAACCAACGAGTGAACACTACAAACAGAACCAACTATAAAACACTACAAACAGAACCAACGATTGAACACTACAAACAAAACCAATGATTGAACACTTCAAACAGAACCAACTATAAAACAGAACCAACGATTGAACACTACAAACAAAACCAATGATTGAACACTTCAAACACAACCAACTATAAAACAGAACCAACGATTGAACACTTCAAACACAACCAACGAGTGAACACTTCAAACAGAACCAACAATGGAACACTACAAACTGAACCAACGAGTGAACAATGTAAACTAAAAGGAAAAACGCGGTAGACTCCTCTAAAATAACAAATAGATGGCTGAATGAAAACAGTCGAAGTGCCGGGTTTACAGTAGCGAAAATATTGTTCATATAACAGCTAAAACAGGGCCCAAACCATTTTTTTAGAAAAGGTCTGAAATATGATCAAACGATGAACTATAAACGAACAAAACACCAACTAAATGACCGACGGCTCAAAATTAAATTCGGGAAAATAAAACGCGAATAGATCAACTACTAGAAAAAGGACCTAAAACAACAGCCAATTCCATCTGAGGTCAACTTTGCCTGAGAGAGTTGTAACCTTAGTTTCTAATAATTTCAAAATTTATTAACAGACAATTTTAGAAAGGTTTGTTATAAATCATGTCAGTACCGAAGTACTGACTACTGGGGTGATTATATCCTTAAGGACTGATAGTCCACCAGCAGAGGTATTGACCCAGTGCTGTAAAAATGAAAACAACACATAATAAATTTTATGTTAAGTGTAGGTGTAAGTTAACAGGCATCCCACACAAAAAAAAACCGGGAAGGAACCGGTTTAAACGAATCTCACGCAAAACTGTGTTTTTTTTTGTGCATTGAAAAATGTTAATTTGTAAATAGGGGAGGGGGCTATTTTCATAACATGTCTTTTGAACATTTTAGCATTTTAAAAGCACGGAAAATGCCGGGGAAAAAACTAACGATGGTTTAAGATAAAAAACGAACATTAGACAATTATCAAACGCTATTTTTGGTAACTTGTACGCCCAAGGTAGTGTAGGTTACAATATATGGTACGTCACTCTACACACATCACTGATACCATATTCGTACACTGTCCATAAACAAGTAATAAAAATGTTACAAGGGTAATATAGCTGTCATTATCTGTCAAAATTGGTGACGTCAAGTATTATTTTCTTTAAAATAATCCAATCAACGTAATATGATTTTTGAATAAAGACAATTCATAAGGTATAAAAGAAGCAAAGTTTAGCAGATTGAGCATCAGTATAAACAGTTTAACATGAAGTCACTTCTTTGTTCCGCGCTTCTCTTGGTTTCTCTCTATTCAGTTCAAGGTATGATTTTCTATGTAATTATTATAAAACCAGACTTTTTAAATGTTCATACATAATTTGAAAACATGATTAATTTGGAAATATTAAATCTTCTTCTTTTTCCTTAATTTTTGATACTTGTGACGAAATTTTTTTTTATCAAAAATGAAAAAGAAAAAATAATTAGGGCAATTTGTTTTCATTAGACAAAACCAAGACCAGTATAACTCTGTATAAGACTATGCATTATACATGTTCATCTGCAGACATAAAAGTGAAATGTTTCGTTCTAAGAGGGTGCCATAATTATATTTAAATTATATTAGATAAAAAAAAGTGGCTACAATCAATAATTTTTCTCTCTGTTCAATTCAAGGTTTGATTTATCGACTGTTTTAACTATTGAATGTGCAAACTTAATTTTATGAATTAAAGATAGGCAATACTAAATATATTTCTTTTTCTTTCGTTTTTTATATATGTGTTTAAATAAGTTAACGAATCAATTAATATAGAGCACGACAAACGAAAAATTATAATTAAGAAAATTAAGTCCGTATGTAAGGTCAATAACAAAGTGTTACATAGCAGGAAAAAAAAACGCGAATTTGATTAAATATGTTTTAACAACATACAATGTACCAATTGTTCCAAGATATAACATTAGATAAAATGCGTTGGAATCTTAAAGACATATATGCTGAAAAAGACAACAATTTTACGTATATTTTCGAGTTTTTCAAATGTTTTTAACAGAGCCCAGTCTTTAGTCTTTGGAATTTTTTTTTGTTATTACTCCTTTCTCCGATACAGTGAAACTAACATCGGCGAAGCTTCAATTGTACATGTTTATGTAAGACAAGCTTAGCGACGTCATCGTTGTTCCTGGCTTTATATTATTTAATTTACTCATGTCTTTCAAAATTAAAGAAATTAAAGATAAGACATGTAATATGACATGACAAATGTAAATTTATTTTGACTTAAGTATTTTCTTCATCGTATCATTTTAGGTCGAAGTTATGGCTATCAAAAAAAGACAAAAAGGGCTCACGTGGTGAAAGCAAAGGATCCCATTGGATTCCCGACAGATCCAGTACTTATACCTAAAGACCCTGTCGTGTTACCAAGTAACAGACTGCCTGAATGTAATGTAGGATGTACTCTCCAGATAATACCACCAGAGTGTGTACAAGAAACATTTGGATTTGAACATGGTGTAAGGTGTAGAGGCTGCGACATTGACATTTGCAATAGAGGCAGGGGAGATAATTTAGATAGATGGCAGGGCGGCTCCCAGTGGCAAGATGGACGAAGCATCCAAAATAGAAACCGAAGAATTGGCGGTGGATTCGTTGATAGTTTAGGTAGTGATTTCTTAAACGGAGGACAAAACTCGAATTTAGGTGGTAGATTTAGAAACAGGCTGGATACAAATTTTGATAGAAGAAACAGATTAGACATAAACTCAAATGACAGAAGAAACCGGTTTGAAACAAACAGACAAGTTGGAAATGAGTGGTTATGATCACGTGGTTATGAGTTTAGTATTTTATAACATAAAGCGTGTGAATTTAGAAATCCAGAGTATTTTGTTGTACAATTTGTAATAAAATTACATATTTTTATATAATCAATAAACGAGTAAAGATCTATTCCTTACTTATTGTTTTCTGTGTTATAAAAATAAGCAGATGTGGTATGATTGCCAATGACACAACTTTCCACCAGAGACTAAATGACGTAAAGATAGCAACTATAAGTCATAGTACAGTCTTCAACAATGAGAAAAACCCAGATCGCATTGCATGTTTCAAAGTGCCAAAGATTGCCTAAATGTTTATAGTCTTCAATTTGAGTACAAGTACATTCATTTTGATATGAAAATTAGATGAGGGTCAACATCAATAGACTCCAACCCAAACACACACAAATACATCTACATGTATTTTTTTTTTTTTAGTTTTTGTATATTGTGCTTTGTAGGCAAAGTTGACTCAAGGTGTATCTGTAGGATTTAATAATGTCCCCCATGAAATAATGTCCGCCGAAATTTTTTTATAGTAAATACTGTTCATGGACAATATTTATTTTAATGTGTCCCGCACACAATTTACCTATGAAAAAATGTCCTAAGCTGTGAAAAAGTGTCTATGTTATCACTGTTTACCATTAAATTTGGTCATTAAACAGTAAATGTGATACACTTTCTTAATCAATTAGAATTCAAGTATGATACAACATTTTGATGACATTTGTATTACTTCCCTTGGATGGCAAAATTTAATAACAACTGCTATGAAATATTGTTTCGTCTACAGATGAATCATCAATAAAACAGACCAGCAAAAGTATTTAATGTAATCTGTATTGGTCATAGAAAACCTTAAATTTAGATATATTTTAAATGACAAAGTTGAGGTTATCTCTCGATTGATGCAAAATATCTTCGAAACAAATGAAGTTCTGGTCTTTCCTCGTTCATGACTTATCCCGGAATGCGACATATTACCGGAGTTTTACCTGTAATATTCAACCCGACGGGTGCAACAAGTAGAGCATCAGAAACTGTTTAACCCTGCGAACTGTCTTTTTTGTGGGGTCCTTGATGATACAGCTATAGGTATCTGTGACTTGTATTAATGACTGTTGTTTCTCCTTACTTCTCTTTTTCTTTTGGTCATGGTTTCGTTTAGTTTTCTTCAACAGGGGGGGGGGGGGGGGGGGGAGGTGCCGGGGTTCCCGGGCTCCTCCTTATGGAGCAACATTTATGGTTAATCCAGACTTTTTACCTATACCACTCCAAATTATGTATGGTCCCCCCTTTTCGGAATCCTGGATCCGCATTTGTTCAAACTTTTCTGTTAAGTATTTTGGCTGAAAAATCTAGGCCATACATGTATACACTTCATAGAATGCCACAAAATACTTTAAAGCTTGACAATAAATTATTTCTTAAAAACATGTTGATAATTCGATACAATGTGAAACATATGTAGAATCAATATTTTAACTTATATCCTTAACTAAGACATGTGACAAATTTTCCTTCAAGGGGGTAATAGACATTTATATTAATGAATGAATGAATGAATGAATGAATGAATAAATGGTTTATCATAGTGCATTATATTCAATCATAATTTAAGTTATCTACCACTGAAACTAATTTCCAAGCACTTAACAAAACGTTAACACTTCAATAACCAATGAGCATAAACTAGGTATTGGATAACATTATAATTCTACATCATGATATCAAAGAAATATACGACAACAATATTTTGAAGTCGTCTGGAACGTGACATTCCATCATGTTGCTAAAATTAATGCTTTACTTTTGTTTTTTTCTCACTCACAGAATTTTCACATTAAGGTAGCTGGGGTGTCTAAATGTTCGACGATAGTATTTTCTTTAAACTTCTGTAAAAGACCTCTGGGTCAATGTACTTTCAAATTTCATTATTACGAAAACATACATTGAAATTCACGAAATCACACTGTAACTTATGTTTTATGGAACTTATTTTCTTCTTATTGATCGAGGAAACATTAAACGATAGAATTAGTTAAAATTCTATGAGAGGATTGCTTTTCATAAATACTTCCGAAATAACAAATAAAAAAGGGGGTCAAGCGCCTTATCTTCTTGAAATAATCCAAAAACACAAATTTTCCTTTCAAATTCAATATAATTATCTGCCCTTGATTTTAACAGCATTTTTTCTGAACATTTTAGATACACTTAAGGGGGTACAGAACACCTAAGGGAGTTAACTCCTAAATATCAGCTGAGCGTTTTAATCACATACTATTAGTAAGGAGAAATCAAGCTTTTCAACGATCAAAATTTGTGATTGTCAAATTGCTATATATCCAACCAAATTATTCCTGTGAATTGTGTGGTTCAAATTTCTAAAAAATTTCATATTTTTGTAAACAGGTCAAAGTAAATATTTTGTCAAAACTTTATGAAAATTAAACGAGCCAAATTTATTTTAGTCAAAGTGTTGGGTACCCCCTTAAGTTAACGACACTTTATTTTTTGATATCTTAATCCTTAAATTTCAAGTTTTACATGTAGATGTTTCTGTTGTATATTGAATGATACATGGTTAAATATGTTTAAACCAAAAAAGTGTTTTACAACATGCCGAGAAAGGATGCTCAGAAAAAAACACCCGATCTACCTTAAACAAACTTCCAGTAAATATGTAAAGACCAATAAGACAGCAACCCGAACCACACAAAAACTCAAAATACATGTTTCTTCAGCTTTTTTTTTCTATAAAATATATATTTTCATTTTATGATTTTTGATTATAATGCAAATATACACAGACATACGAAATATATTATTCCTGCTATTGCCGGCCGACGTTCGTCCAACAATCAGTTGGTACAATATTTGTTCCGGAAACATCTTGCTGTATTGGCAAAATTCAATGTTGCATTAAGAGAACAATTCACGATATTTTAGGTAGGTCAAGTAATAATCCTGTATCAAGTGTTTTTGTGATTTTTTTCCGAAAGACAGGTGAAACATAGATAAATATAAATATTGGTAAATATACGAGTTCTCAATCCAGTTTTATATGCCGTGTATTATGGATGGTGTTCGGTTGTTCGTCTATTTTCTGTAGGCAATGGGGTTATTTGTTTTCTTTGACTTTTTGTTTTCGAATAACCCTTGGGTATATATCTTCTCCCCATTTGTTGAAAGACACAATTGGCAGAAAATAAGTCAAACATTTTTTTTTAAACAATGAAAATGAAAACAAATATAGTCTTCATAAAGAACAGAAGGGGTAGGAACAACAAGCAACTTCTGTCGTATCGACCTACAAAAAAAAGTTTAATTTGTAAAATATCTATATGCAATGTATATATACGCATTTAAAGTGTACAAAACAACACCAATATCAAAAAATGAAACAATTAATACAAATATCAATATATTAAATATTTTGAATAACAGATATCCTTCATCAGTATATATATATGTACTTGTATGTGTGTGCATGTGTTTAGATTGTATAATAATTTTCGTAAAACTATGAAAATTCCCACCGATACAGTGCAACATTGATGAATATGTCAAGCGGCCACTGTATCAATATGGCATGTGTAAACCATTATAACGTTCAACAGATTTGAGAATAAGCTATGTCTTTATGTTACCCACTTGGCATTCTCCCCTCTTTTCCCTGTAGATCTACCACAGAAGCGATATAAGAAAGAAACAGATGTACCCCCGACCCGACGTCAAATTACTTTAAGAAAAAGTGATTGAACACCCCGTATTTCACTTCTGATTTGGGTAAAGGCCCAAGAAGTAGCCAGTTTGTGCTGCAGCAAGTTGTAGAATGTATTAAAAAATGTGGCAGTTTATTTATGTCAATGAAAATAAAGAAAGTGGGTGCCCGACAAACATGTTTAACCCCGTCATATTCTGTATGTGCCTTGCCTGCCCCAAGTCAAGAGCCTGTAATTCAGTGGTTGTCATTTGTTGCTGTATATCATATTTGTTTTTCGTTCATTATTTTGTACATAAATCAGGCCGTTAGTTTTCACGTTTGAATTGTTTTACATTTGTCATGTCGGGGCCTTTTATAGCGGACTATGCGGTGTGGGTTTAACGCATTGTTGATGGCCGTACGGTGACCTATAGTTGTTAATTTCTGTGTCATTTGGTCTCTTGTGGAGAGTTGTCTCATTGGCAATCATACCACATCTTCTTATTTTTATAGTAAGTAAGATTAATCAAAAATTGCAACGTAAACCGTCTTAGAGCTTCCATACTCTCCTAATTAAAAAGTGAATAACAGTGCTTTGAACCTGGTTTATTACACTCATATTTTTTTTATGATAAATGATCATTAAACGAATTTTGTTTATCAACAAACACTTGGCATGTTTGATCTTAAATGACATATGATATCGAATCAAACATAGAGAAAAAGGGTTGTTTTATTAGCTTTTAGATTCGCTAATAGAACTGTTTTAAAACAATTATGTCAGACGATATGAGAAAAATAATGCTTGTCTGTACTGCTTCAATATGAATGCTTGAGATACCAGACTTTATAACAAAAACATGGTAGTTTCTAGTAAAATAAAAGCTAATACATCACAATCAACTAAGTATATACTATATCATTCAAAGGCCAAAATCATTTTTCAAGTAAGGCTAAAATCAACTCTGAACTGACAGATACACAGAGCAATATCGTAAAAGTTGTGGGAATCGTAAATATAAGATGATGTACAACACAACAGTATAAGATATAACTATTATGTTGATAAACATATGCAAAAAGTAAAATAACAAAAATAACAAACTCCAAGGAAAATTCAAATCGGAAACTCCCTTATCAAATGGCAAAATCAAAAACTCAAACACATCAAACGAATGGAAAACAACTGTCATATTCCTGACTTTGTACAGGCATTTCCTTATGGAGAAAATGGTGGATTAAACCTGGTTTTATAGCCATCTTAACCTCTCACTTATATGACAGTCGCATGAAATTCCATGATATTGACAAGGTGTGAACAAAACAGTGTTTTGATTTTAAAGGGGAAAAGTGAACAAAATCTCTTGATCTCAAATTTTAAACTTTGTATAGACAAAATTATGTACAAGTATCTAAAG